GCTTTCAGTTATCAAGCTTCTCTCTTGTGGAACCAACTTCCAGTTTCTGTCCATAAGGCTGACATTCTGTCTACTTTTAAAGTTGGAGTTAAGATTTTCCTTTTTGATAAATCCTATAGTTTGGCTTGGGTTTCCTGAGTTATTCCTTAGTTATGGTGCTATAGACTTAGACTGCTGGAGGACAAACTGAGCACATTTCCTCACTCTTCTGCTGTCTTTGGTCACTCTCAACTACATGTTTGCTGTTGTATTTATTTGTWTCTCYTCCAGTGGAAAATACACCTAACAGTCTGTTGGTGTTTATCTGTGTGTGTCTTTCCTGCCCAAATGGCTGCTCGACCTGAGCTTGGTTCTACTGGAGATTTCTCTTTGTTAAAAGGGAGGTTTTTCTTTCCACTGTTGCTAATGTGTTGCTCAGGATGGGAGACTGTGATGAAGTGAAGATTCAACTCAGTCGTCTGGCTTCTTTAGACTGTTTTTTGTTTTACAGCACCCTGTGATAMTGTTTGTTGTGACTTGGTGCTATWTAAATAAACTGAATTGAACTGATAAATGCATGAACTGAGCTGCACTCTGTTGGCATCTGGAGAATATTGTAGTTTCTGTCTGGATGGACACATTGCTTACCTCTGGTAAGGTCTTTAACCAATGCACAAGTTAACCAGTGAAGACACTGCTCTGTTTCAACCCCCCACTTTAATTCATTTGCCTTGGTCTCCTGTCATTGGCACTCAGGTTTTATAGTACGCAGACCATGGCTAGCAGGGCTAAAGAATGAGCTGTGTTAATTTGTAGATATATGTGTGGCACTGCAAATGTTGGAGGCAGTTTTTTTTTAAGTTGCAGTGTGTCTGAAAGTCTGCATGCAGGAGGAAGACRTATGTATGTGTACAGAGAGGGTGTGGGGTCATTTCTAAACAATCTTCTACTATAGTGCAAGCAATGCGACTGACCTATATGGCCATCACTCACAGTTAAGGCTGACTCAAGCTAAATTGGTTACATGCACAGCCTGGCCGGCTCCGTTCTACACATGCAAGCAGTAACACAAAAAATAAAAAATAAAAAAACCACGAGACTGGGTCAAGATGTGCACAGTTGATTGCTCAATAATTGTTGCTATTGAAAGGCTGTGGGGCTGAGGCATCAAAGGAAACAATATACTGGCTTTTATTTTTACAGACAACTTATCCTAAAACATGTTTGTTGTTCTTAACTGAATAATTGACCTTTCTGATTAAATGTAATAAAGCGAAATATATTATTATCTAGCTTCCAAGGAGATTTTACATATAAAAAAATGTAACCAGCTATTTAGTTGGGAATTTTTCAGTTTGTAAAAGTTCTCTGTTCATCTCTCTCTCTTTGTGCCTCCTTTGCTTTAAGGTGTACCTTTTGTGTCAATCACATCTTTACTGTTGCCAACTAAGTGACTGCTCTACGACAAGACGAGCACTTGACAGACCCGCTTATCGCAGTACTTGAATGAAAAAAAGATCAGGGAGAAGTTGTTAGTGGCCTGACCGACTATGTGAGGGCCCCTCGTAACAGGCTGACAGCAAGCTGAATGATGAGGACAGGGTTAACCACGTTAGTTAGCAGAGCTGAAGAAGCTGAGGAGGAGACGACATGATTGATGAGCTGGAGTGTCAGATAATCACAGCCCACTCTCCCCTGCCTATTTAATTTGACACTGGAGGGGAGCTCGGCTTTTTACGCTCCGCACGCGCTTTTATTTTGTTTCMGTTATAACAAGCTAGGCTTCAGACATAAACAATAACTTCATTTAGTTGGCCGACAGAAAAATAAATTACAGGGGGTAGATATAACTTAATTTCCTGCMGCATCACACTGTGAAAAAAAAAGAGAGAAAAATCTAATTTTGTGCGCCGCCTGCCACTGAGTGGTCGAGCTAAACTCATCGTCTTTCATATTCTTAATGTATTGCAATAATTCAGCCCTTATTCTTTAATAAATAAGGGCTTAGTGCAGCACAGAGTTATAAGTAATGCTCACATTATACTAGAAAGGACAAATTCAAAGCGAACTAGAAGGAGAGGTGAGGTTGTTTGTGCTTCAATATGCCCAKCTATCGATGCCAGTGATGAAGTCGATCCAAATTATTTCTCACTACACACACTTCATCAGAGATCACATTTTCAAATAAGATGTTTGAAAAAAACTAAATATACTATATTTTGCAGTTTCAAAAATTTTTACGGTTCTTGAGAGCGACGCAGAATTTAAAGGGCTCTTTTCAAAAGGAAATTTCAGGCAAAAATAAGACGCACTCTTTCAAGTTATCATTTATTTTAGGAAACAGATTTTTTTTTACTTTAACCTAATTTCACTTTTTATTTTCACTTTATTTCATTTAACTTATCTAGACTTGGCCTCCTTTAGTTGAGTGCAAAACAACTGGTTCAACTTATACACGGACCATTAGAATCCATAAAATAAATCATTTTATGAATAAATAAAAAATTATGTTGATGGTCAGTTTCAGCAACTTAAAAAATCAATGCATTGAGGAAGAAACTTTGAGTTGTTTATATGCTTCTTTCCTTGGGAATTTTCTGAACTTTACATGAGTATTATGACTCTACTTCTTTAATTCAATAAAACACCTTCACAGCTTTTCTATCTGAATAGCCAAAATCTCATTCAGCTCATCTAATTATTTTTAAAGTAAGGGAGATTCATAATCAGTATCAAACACTCAATTTTTTAAAGCACAGCACACTATTACCAAGGGTTATTATGGTCAGTATTTCTGAGATTGTATATGGATGATGAAAGTCTGTTTTCTAATCAATAATTAAGTTTAATGTTGTTTTAACTTGTTCTCTAAAGTTTTTTTTAACTCATTCTCTAATGTTTCCAACTCGTCTTCTAATGTTTGCAACTCATCTTCTTATGTTTGCAACTCATTCTCTAATGTTTTATTAACTCGTTCTCTAATGTTTCTTAACTCGTCTTCTAATGTTTTTTAACTCGTTCTCTAATGTTTCCAACTCGTCTTCTAATGTTTCTTAACTCGTCTTCTAATGTTTTCAACTCGTCTTCTTATGTTTGCAACTCATTCTCTAATGTTTTATTAACTCGTTCTCTGTTTATTAACTCATTCTCTGTTTTTTAACTCGTTCTCTAATGTTTTTAAACTCGTTCTCTAATGTTTTTAAACTCGTTCTCTAATGTTTTTAACTCCCTTCTCTAATGTTTTTTTTAACTCATTCTCTATTGTGTTTTTTTAACTTGACTTCTAAAGTCTTTTAAAGACATACTGAAATTTTAAAAAATAGCCTACCTCCCTTTGCACACCTAAAAATAAATTTTTAAAAATACATTGCTAACACTTGTTTACATGGACATAAGTAATCGTAATCAATGGTCAATCRAAATAAAAATGTGTCTGCAATCGAAATATTCTGATCTGATTCAGCTCAAAGGAATGAATTTGTAATCAGAATGACAGCAGTGGTTTAATTCTATTGATWATCTGAATGACAAGTATGTAAACATTCTGATCGTGCTTTTCTGGTTATAGAAAACTGATCATGTCTGCGCATGTGTGTTTATGTGCGCATCAACCTGACGTATTTCCACCTGGCTAGATGCTAATATGTCCRGGAAGCAAAGCTGGTTGGTTAGTGATGCAACATTTCTATTAGAAACTAAACGAGATCAAAATTATCAAATGCCTTGATGGTCGAAAATGTAGCAACACGGAGCGCAGTAATTAAAACCTGGTGCGGGTCAAATCTGGCCGCTCAGAACTCACAGAATTSTTTGTTTATGTTCATCACAGAAGTAGAACTTCTGTGTTCTTTTTAGAAAAAAATTAAAACTCTAAGCTGTTAGTACTTCTATTCTGAATAAAAGCATTGCGAGTGTAAATGCTCGTCATGATCGGATTAGTTAATTTTGTGCCCATATAAAAAGATACATTCAGATTATTTAATCTGAATCCATTTCTGTCTGATCAAAGAATTTTGATCATGTAAACATAGCTAATATCTACTCAGACACCTCTCTGGCTCTACCGGGACCTTCTGTCTAACACTCACTCAGTTTGGGATTAAAAATAATGGATAAGTACTTAATGATTTCAGCTTCCAAAAAATAACCACACAATGAAAATGTGACACTACATTTTTTAAGGTTGCTATCACCCCACGGGAGTGCAAGCATGAAATATGTATTCAGGTACAACAACCAGATTGTCATTTGATAAAAGGATGCCATTGAGAGACRGAGTCCCCTGCAGCAGCCGTCTTTGTCCATTTTCTAGTCTGACTGGTCTCTGCTGATGGGGTCTCATAAAGGAATCCAATAATCACATGCAGAGACCTTGAGGGAAGGGAACTACAGTAACTGCCAGGGACTGTGTGTGTGTGTGTGTGTGTGTGCGTGTGTGTGTGCGTGTGTGTGTGTGTGTGTGTGTCCCGCTGGTAGCGATAACCTCTGATTTATAGACAGTGTGACCATCGAGGACAATGAAGCCCACAATGAGATTCAACACCCCCTCTCCACCCTAATTCTCAGTCTGGTACCAGCCATCATGCCCTTTCCACACACACTCATGCCAGGGTCACAAACCTCTTATTTGTTTTGTTTTTGTTGTGCTTGTCCTCTATTTGCTCTGTTGCTAATTCACTACCTCCCTCCTTCCATTCTATCTTTTTTCCCTCTTTTACCCTTGGCCCCTCTGTCAGTCAATGTGTATAGATCACTCTGGGAGACTTGCTGGCTTCTGACATACCCGTGACCCATAGCACCGTTGGCAGGCTTGACTATAAAGGTCTTCTGCTTGCGTTTCCTGCGAAGCTCTTTGACATAGTTCTGGAACTGAGTGTATTCAGCTGGGAAGATCCAGGTTTTAGGTATAAAGCTGTACTCCTGAGGCTGGCACTTGATCATTCTGCAATAAAAAGGAAGAAAAAGAGCAATTGTGTAAGCATTCTTTCCTACGAGAAGCAAGGTTTTTTTTAAAGATGAGGAGTGCTTCAAGTAACCAGCAATATCTTCTTTGAAATGCTTATGTTGCTCAAGTTTGGTTTTTTGTTTGTTTGTTTGTTTTTTTGTTTTTTTCACAACTAATCCAAAGTAGTTCCATTTACGTGTTAAGAGAGACCAAACAAAACTTACTTGGACATGTTTCTCGCTAGGCAGTCTTTGCGGCAGATTTCGCCCATGCCAGGGAAATGGTTAATTCTCTGCAGAGGGACAAGCAGACATAATAATGTTGTTAGGGCCATTAAGCCACTCAATTCCACCCCCACCCCTTCATAAAAATGAGCACATTAAAGGCAGCAACCTGAAGTGAGCTTACAATGTTCTGACATTTATGCCCAATTACAGACTCAAAACAAAAAGGTGACGCTGAGACCTTTCTCAACCCTTATTTAGTTTACTGTGAGGTTTTTTCTCCCCCCTATTTTTTTTAATACTTTAAAGGTTGGGGAGGGAAAGAAGCGAGAAAAAAAGAAGACAATCAATCTCTACTCAGAGGGGCCAAGGTAATTGGTTCTGCATTGCAAGCTCCTGTGGTGACAGTTGAATGAATTGCTTTGAATGTGCCGTAAAAAGGGGGTGGATGTAAAGGAAAAACTCRGAGTTTTCTGTATTCTTTGACCAAATGAGCTTGAACGGGGGGGCGTTAATTAGGCTCGTATGAACTGAAAATTGACGGCAAACTCTCATCGCGCACCCCAAAAAACAAAAACGGGACACATTAAAAAGAGGAAAGGGGAAAATGGGGGAAAAAACAAGAATAAATATTGTAAGAAATGTGTCCTTATCATCCAAACGAGAAAGGCGTAATTAAGAAATCTGAAGATGCCACTGCTGATAGACTACATGGCGTGAGTGCAAATCAAAATCAGTTGCTGAGGGACTTCTGTTTTTGTTTTAAGAATTCATTTCATGACATCAGCATGAAAGAGCAAACGGAAACGAATGTCAGAGCCTTGGTTCTGTGTAAAACATTAGCGACGTCACACATTGCGCAGCTTCAGTTTTTTTGCAGTGTTCAATCTTCTCAGCTGAACTCTGGCTGCCCCTGTCCTAACAAGGCACCCTCTTCCTGACTAGCCCCTGATTTAATTGATCATTTGTGCCCAGTCTAATCAAATAAGATCTCCGTAAGAGAAACAGCTAATGCTCAGAGCTGAGGGAGGGCAGCCGAGTTCATTCAGCAGGCCAGGGGGAGGGGTCAAGCAAAGGTAAAATCACTCTCAAACCAACGCAGAAAAAACTGGGAGTAACCCTTGTTGTTAAGGTCCATCTTATCAACATCACTGGTGACATGTGAAACCTGCCCCAYCAGCCCCTGTTGTTCACAGCCTGTCAGTCTACCTGTCAATCCCTCCATCCCTGCGTTCCCTCTGCTGGTGCCTCTCACTATGTGCACCCATTTTCGTGTCTGCTGTGTTACCACCCGGTGTTTTAGACAAACCAGATTGGCAGATTCAGAATCTTTCTCTCACTTAGACATAGACCTGACAATTCAGCCTTTACGTGTCCYGACTATTCTTACCGAATCTTCGAGATCTGTTGTTTTTCAGAGCTGTATTTCTCGAAGTGTGTCCGCTTTTTGATCTGCTTACACAATTTCCCTGCTGTTTTTGTTGTTGCTGTTTATATGACTTCCAGCGTTCTGTTTTGATTCATTTTTACCAAAAGCTGATTCTAATATGGTAATTAATGGTTATGCTAATTACTCTCCCTCACTGATCTATTTCTCATAAACTCACCATTGGAGTTTGTCTGTTTTTCATGCATTTTTTWTTTTATTTTATTTGCTGTTGTTAAAGAAATTCAGTATTTTTTAGGTGACTTTGGGGATGCAAGTTATCACARTTGATTGATCTTATCAAATGACGAATGATTAATTGATAAGCTAACATTTTCTTAAAAACCTAAGTTTTCTCTTGTATCAAGAGGGTCTTTTCCACAACAAGAAGTTTTTATCTTTTATAATACGTTGACTTAGAAAAATGAAGCAGATCACTATTTTAACAATTTATTTTGCCAGCTGTATTAAATACTGACTGAAAAAAAAATTTTTGGATTTCTCACACATTATTAAACTGGACATTTTTATAAAATACAACAAAACAGAAATCTATTAGGCTGCTGAATGGGTGGGGAACAGATGAAAAGAATAAAATATGATTTTTAAATGTAAAACTATTATAAATTTATTATTAATGATTTTTCTCTGATTCCTTACATTCTGACCTTGAGKCCACTGTGAGCCCTTTCAAGGTGCACTAAACTTTACATGATTCTGTATACCTGATAGTTCCTGAGCTCAGCAATTTTCTCGTGCTGCACAGCAGAGTCGTTCCAGATGAGGTTGGCGGTCTCATCATCATCCCGTGCTTTGATGAAGTACATCTCGCTGATGACTGTACGAACTGAGGTGCAAATAAGAACACATTAGTTTCTGTTAAAGTAACAGAATAATCTGAGCTTTGCAGTCTTGCATGAATATAAAATTATTACTTTTTTTTAAATACTACCTAAAAATTAACAAGATATAGTCACAAAAAAAAGAAACTTTATGTTGCAAACGCTAAATTCAAATACAGTATGTCACTTAAAGCACAAAAAACACAGAGTTCAGATCAGTGTTTCACTCAAACATTTTGTTAGGCTTAAATATTGTTTTCCAGCTATTAAGAAATATAAATTTGGGAGCCTATAGATCAAAAAAGCTCACAGCAATATTTACTATTCATGGAATGGTTGCAGAGCAGCTAATCATAATGCCTCTCTTGAAAAAGATAAATTAATTGACTGTAATGCATTCAAATCCCACCGGAAAGCCCATCGTATGAGAGATAGGTGGCAGCCCATTTGGACATTAATCCTACAAGTATTCATTATTCAGGGGTTAATGAAAAATTCATATGCCCTAACAAAACAAAGTATTAATTAATTTCTTGAGAGCTTCCACAAACCTGGAGAAGGCCTGCCTAATGTTGCGTGATGGCACTTTGAATGGGAAAAAGATGTTTCCAATGTGACTCCATCCATCTGTTAATGTCAGTAGAGACTAACAGTGTTTTGCTAAATGGAACAGGGAGGATTTTTACACCAAAGCAGACATATGGTTAACAGTAAGGTCCTTTAGTACAGCAAGGCTATAATTGATCCTTTTCCTTGCTTGTGTTACAAAACAAGCATTTTAAGTGCAATAGTTTGCGGTCCCTCCTTGGCGGGGGTAAAAGCAGAATTTCTATATAATTTTCCCAAACCATAAAACTTAATTTGTAATACTACTTGTCCTACAACAAAAAAAAAAGGACAGGTGCAAAAAAAAACAGCAAAAACAAGCCATCCAGCTGGCCTGTGGTGTTAATTTTCCCTCAAAATAGACCTGAACTGCTCTCAGAATGGCCACTGTGAGGGTCTCGTCACAGCGAGCTTACTGACTCACAGCTGGACTTCCATCTACCGACAGGATCCCGACTGCCTCCAACTTCTACTCACGGCTGCTGACTCCTTAGTTTCATAGGTTGTAGTTCACCCCTGAGAACTCCGCTGCCACACAATATATTGAACTTGTGTGGAGTGCTTACAGTGCTCTTTTAGCCCCTCTCAAAAAAAAAAAAGCACTGCCAAGTTAAATTACCTCACCAAAGATTWATGTATGTATATAAGGCTCAGCTGTGTGAACTGTTCAGCTGGACCGCTTCTTTTAAGGTTTCATTTAGGACGAAAAAAAACTCATTCAAGCAATCCCTCACAGTTAATTAGATTTTATTGTTGAGGCAACACTGGAATCRGATTTGTGGTGTTTTGAAGGAATCGGGAAGCCATACTGAGAGCTTTTTCTAAAACTGCTCGCTCATGACATTTTTATGAGGAAAATCAAAACATGAATTCACAAGCCTAAATTTTTTTTCAGAATTTAGCACAATGCAGCTGAAGTAATCAGAAAATTACCCAACAAAGAAAGCTGTCATTTTGGCTGAGTTTTTGTGGCAAAAGTTCTGCCTACCTGTTTATATTTAAATGTCACAATAATACCACAGCTGCAATTAATGCAGGGGAAAAAGTTCAGCTCTCAGGTCAAAGGTCAATGAAAGGTCTTCCCTAAAGTTAGGGAAAAAAAACAAGCTAAACTATGTCAAATTTTATGATTTGTAATCAAGATACTTAGAGCCCTATGATTTCTGGATAACACGGATTGAATCAGGGAATTTACCAAACAAAATGGAATCCAGTATAAAATGCAGAATCTCACAGAATCTGCTCATTTAAGTAAGTTCTGGAGAGATTGTAACCGCTGCCGCTTCCCATATTTACCCTTACCTGGTTATGAGCAAAAGGGGTGAGCTCTACTTTCAACACAAAGATAAAAAAGTTAGCTGCCGAGCTATGGCGAAGAGGCTAAACACCAGTGTCTTCCAAATAATTCGAAACTTAGCACAAAGGCAGAACCAGCAACTTTCATGAATCCGGAGAACAACTTTTCTGTAAGCTTTGTCCCTTTTTGATAAAGYACTGTAAACAAGGAGGGGCTCTGCAGAAAGAGAAGTAAAAATAAGCTTAGATTCTATTCAGTAGGCAAGTGTGCACAAATTGTTACTCCTAGAGGTTTTATTTTTCTTCATAAGACATATTTTATGTTAAGTTCAACTCTAAAGCATTTTTATTTTACAAAAATATAACTTTTTCAGTGTGAGATATTTGAGATTCTATGGTTTACAAGTAATTTTAAATACACTGCGAAACCATTTAATGTTCTGCTGAACAACAGCAACTTGTTATAATTGTGAATGCGAAATAACAGCCAATACAATTTTATTTCTGTGACCATTCATTGTTAAATTATATTTCAGTTGCTTTATAATTACACACTTTTAAGATTAATAAATATGGTTAGAATAAAAATGTGGAATTCAGGGGGGGATGGAAACAAATGGAATTTGGGAAGAAAAAAAATAAAACAAATTATAGGGCCCTAGATAATAATTGTATAATTCCTCACTAACTTTTATTTGCTTGTAATTTTAAATATTCTTGTAATTTAAAAAAATAAATAAAAGTTTTGTAATCTTATTGGAGGTAAAGTGTAATACCTATCTCGTATTTTGTGCCAGCAACATTGGCAGTGATGGTGCCTTTCTTCTTCTTGGAATGCACTTTCCTCTTCCCGCTGCTCTGGTAGGAACCCACAGATGGGACGTTSGCGGGGGACGCTCCTTGATCCTCTGGAGGAGAGAAAGCATACAAACAAGGCTGGATACAGTCACAGCTTGTGCCCCAGAACAGGAGAGGAACAGAAGCCTAATGTATTTTCCTTATTACTTCAGGGGATTTAGAGGGGTTTGTTTATGGTGGAAGAATGTAAGTGGATTATTCATCTTGCCTAGTGGAGTTCCATACATCATAGTCCTTAAATTATTATGTCTGTGCGTGTGTGTGTGTATGTTTGTGTGCGCACAGCTGTATTTAAAAATGTCACACTGTATGCACAAAGACAGACAGACCCTGTCGGTGCTAAGAGGAATGAAGCTGTCTGACTCACCTCCATCGTTTGGAGGGGAGGGCATCTCAGGGGCTAAAGGAGGAAAGGGGCGAGCCGAGCTTTCTGCCAGGCTTCGTGGGCGACCTCACAGGGTGCAGAGCACCCTCCACGGGTTCTCACAAGCTCGCTAGTTACTCTTCTCGGTTCGGGGCTGTGTGAACAGTGTGGTTCGGAATCGCACAATGGATCATCTGAGCATCTCCCCGGCCCCCCTTCAGCAGTAAAGCAGGGGAGTCAGAGTGGATGGCGGTGGTGGGAAAGGAGAGGGAAGGCGAGAATTCCTCAAGCGACTGCAAAACCCAAGCTTATTTAGAGGCTCAGGAGGGGAAAGTGGGGAAGGGGTGGACGGGAGGGGGGGGGGGTGGAAAGTCCTGTAAATGAGAGGAAAAATGATTCATTATAGGCAGAGTCATAAAGTAATTAAGTGCAAATACTTTGTTACTGTACTTAAGTAGAAATTTTGGTTATCTGTACTTTACTTGAGTAATTATTTTTCAGCGTACATTTTACTTTTACTCATTACATTTTACACAATTATCTGTACTTTCTACTCACTACATTTTTTAAAAAGGTAAGAAGTAGAAAGTCGTTACTCCTATTTTATTCCGAGTTGTTATTACTTAAAAAAATTTATCCTGATAAATTGTGTCTCCTGGATAGAGTGAATTTAATTGTGGTTGGATGAGAAATATAAATATATACCATTCTGTCACCCTATTGGCTTGTACACAACCCAACACAGCTGCATGCCGTTGGAAAAAATTTATTTTGGAGAAGTCACCTCCCAATAAATGTCATTTTGGAAAATCGAACTGCTCACTTTTACACAGTACTTTTACTTTTAATACTTAAGTAGATTTTGTGTCAGAAATTTACTTTTGATACTTAAGTACAAAACATATCAGATACTTTAAAGGCACAGTGTGTAGGATTTGTTGTTTTCAGCGACATCTAGTGGTTGAATCATCCTCCCTGGTTCCCCCCCCACACACACGCACACACACACACACCCACCCCCTTCCAAACACAAAAAAGTTTCTACGGTGTCTCTCAGGTGTCAAAAACCTTTGATAATTCCAACTGCGATGTCTACCAGCAGCTTCAGGGCTAGTGATGTTTCAAGTGGTAAGATTATGAGCTTTAATAAGTAAAATTATCCCAGCTACAATGACAGACAACAAATATTACATTTGTAGTATTACAACTAAAACCGTTTTTGACGCCGCCACCGCAGTTTGTCCTTCATGAGCCTTCGTAGACAAGATGGCGGTGCAAGATGGCGGCTGCCTGTAGTGGCGACCCGCGACCATGGAGATATAAACAGCTTTTTATAAGGTAAAAATAATAAAACAAGGTCTTTGTCTGCAATGATTAGACATGTTTTTTATTATTGTCATCAGTGATTATCTCAATTTTGGCTAAAAGAATTGACAAAATCCTACACACTGTGCCTTTAAGAATTTTACTCAAGTAATATTTTTAGAGAAGACTTTAACTTTTACCAAAGTATTTTTATGATAAGATACTTGTAACTTTACTCAAGTATCACTTTGAGGTACTTCATACAACACTGATTATAGGTGTATTGCAGGAGAGGGTTAACACATGTTAAACGTAATGTATCTGGAAGAGCTCCATATACTCTGACACTGCACACTGCTGATTGAATAATCTAATAACGTCTGCAGGAATAATCGGTAGTTCATAGAATCATCGGGAAACAATCTTGCTCTTGTCACATAAAGTGTTTCCAGCATCTCCCGGTGTCTTATGCCTGCTGGGTTTAACTCAGCGGCTGCAAGGTCACTTCATTCAAACAGATGGCATTTTTACAGTGGTTTATTAAAACACTGCCTCGGGGATATCATCACCAGTCACCAGCCAGGTTCTGTTTGTCACTAAGTGTGTCCCTCAAACCATTTTTGGAAGTAATCAGCCATTGTAGAGATGTCCTGTTTACATTAATGCCATTACTGGCTTTGGCAGCGAAGTGGCTCTGTGACTAGAAGCGTTCCATCAAAGTTAAAGAGGGGTTCTCATCGATTCAAGCCACTGTTCTTGTTTTGTTCTTAGCGGAGCTTGCCTGGTGTTTTTTTTTTTAAGCTCATCTGTCCTGATTTGGATAAATTTTACACAGTGGTCATGCTGCACACCAAAGATTTGTGTTTTCTTTTTGTTTTGTTTTTTTAAGACTAATAATTTTACCTTGTGAAAATATTTTGAAGCTTTCACAAATAATTTCAGTTCGTGCAGTTGCTAAATGTCTTTTTCAAAAGTGTGATAGATCTAAGGTCGGGAAGGGTAAAGAAACACGAGGGGGGAAATGGATCACTTTCTTATATACCAATGTGACACAGAGCAGATGGATCACCATAAACGGAGAAAATGCAAAAATGTATTTCTAAACATTTCCATAAAAGTATTCCAGCTGGACAGGGTAGAAAAGACAAGTGATCTTTATAGGAGCTGCGAATCGCAATCAAAGAGAGCAAAGTGACTTCTTAGTTTAAATTCTAGTGGTGTTTATTGCAAAACAAAAGAAATGTCACATAAACGCAAAGACGCCTACTGTGTTTGTTATAAACTAAAACCTGCAGGAACAGTAATCAGACGGGCCTATTTCAGGCAGTGCCATCAAGATAAAATCAACAAAAATATCAAGCAACATGAAGCAACGCTTGACAGAAAAGTTGCGTCTGAAATGCTAATTTTCCTGACAAATTGATCCACTGAAAAATACGTGAGGTGATGCAAATACTGGCAAGTGTCAGTTTAGCTGGGAGTTGACGGTTTAATTTGCTCAGATTTGAATGGAGTCGTGCGTCGAGGCTTCGAGCTGCCTCGTAATGTGACACGACTGCACAAAGTTTCTGCAGCACCTCAAAGAGAGATGTCTGTAAATCTGTGTTAACGTGTTCATGGATAAGTGTAWGTAAGCATAAATTCAACATGTATGCACTTTTATCATTGATATGTTAAGAAAAAACTATGCAGCATTGTCCATAAARTGCAGTAAATTTCATTGTTTGAAGATTAAAGACCAAATATTATGTCAAGACTTTGAATAAAAAAATGCACAATAAAATACAAGCTATAGAGGACTGGCCAATGAATTATACTGCCTATAAACATTATGTAGACTAAACGAATTATAAATCATAGGTAATATAATCCTGTGCAACTCAACCAGGCTACATTTTCTTGTCCCTCGCCTTCGTTTTACAAAAAGATCAACAGTGGCCTCTAGTGGCGAGAGTGCACTGAAAAGATGTTTTTCCTCGCCTAACAATGTTTACTGTCCACAAGCCCACTTTGTTAGATCAGCGAGCGCGTCGGAGCCTAAGACGATAGCTTACAAAGCAACCTTATTGATTCCATCATCAGCCTCTAGACAAATGAGAATGAGGAAACAATCTGATTGCATTGCTTGATCACTCTGCAGTCCATACTGTCAGCCTCTTCGGTCTGCCTGTGGTAAGCACAGGTCATTGATCCTGACTACGATGAGATCAGCAGAGAGGGGAGGGAGGGAGGGGGAAGCTACAACAAAAGACCCAGAGTGATAAAGTGAGGCAAGCTGTGTTGCTGACAATCTGCCCCCACTGTGCAACGGTGTACCGGGGTGCACTGTGTGCAGGATCCTGGGAACAAATGTCTCTATAAGAGCGCCAACCCTTAGTGTCATGTAAGCCTTCAGAACAAGTGCAAGACACATATGTTTCAACGAAAAACAACAAAAATGATTTTCTAGCTATGCATTTTCCGGGTCAGGTCATTTGAAATGGCATTTACCACGTCCACACAATAAATAACTCTGTTGTTATCACTTATTATGCAGCAGGGATTTAAATTCAAACAATAAAAAGTAACTACTGTAAAAATGAATTACAAAATAAAGTCAAATATCAGCATGCACATTGTTTTTTTTTTAAGACTATCTGCTCTTTACTGCTGATGGTGTAATAAAATATAGTTTTTTTTCAGTACCTTCATTGTTGCTGTAAATATGTGCATCTCTAACCCGTACCCCTTCTTCAAATAAAACATCAACCCAGATTTCTAACCTATCTGGTTGGACTGGAGCGTTATGTAGCATCGCAGTTGAGATACTCTGGTGCAACAATGATTGATGATATGCACTAAATGAATTCTTCTGGTGTTTTCCTAATTCATCTCAATTGGTAGCGATAATTATAAACTAAGGAGCCAGCTGGTTTAACTTGCGTCCTCTTGAAAGCTGAAACATTTCAATGTCAAACTCAAGCTGCAACCTCTTCTGTAACTTCAAGTGTGTACAGCCGGTTTATTCGTGTCACACCTTATTAATTCTTTGCATTTAGAAAAATGATTAAAACAGTGCTACAGATGTTCAAATTTAGATGCTTGATTTATTTCAACTATATAAAATCCTAATACTACAAATTACAAACTTATGCCATACGTAATTAGCTTAAAAATAATTTATTTTTAATGCTGCTAGCTATTTTATGACTTATTAATAGTGATAGGGAATCAGATAATGTGTGGGGGAAGGGGGCTGTGAATTGTTTTATTATARTTTGGACGTTTTTGTGTGGAGCCAAGGAAGAATGAGCCTCACTGCGATGAGAAATGAGCCCATCCATCGATGCAACATAATTTGACCAGCAGAGGGAGCCAACGACCAATAAAATTGAAGGATCAGTTTGACCAGCAGAGGGAGCCAAAGACCAATAAAACTGAAGGATCAGTGCCGCTTTTCAGTCCTGCTGCTGCTCAAAACAGAAAGGCTTCATTGTGAAGAGTCAGCTCTTTGTGATGCTCATGTGCATCCCTCTCTCTGTTTTACTGAACAATATAACAAATGTAAATCTGTCTGCGAGTGCAAAGCTATACAATTTTCTAACTATTATCCAGTACAGGTTGTTACCATTCATCTTGTTCATACAATAATAAACATAGTAGTCTTGTCTGCCTCATTGCTGAATCCTTTCTTTTATGTTGTACTTTATTTTTCTTTTTTGTCGTTGTTATTTACATTTGTCTGGCCTTAGTAAGGGTTTTATTGTGTGTGTACTTGAAACTATCCTATATGTAAACAAAAAGCCCATGTGGGAGCGGGCACCACGAATTAGCTCAATAAATATGATGACATGTTGTTGTTGTTGTTGTTGTTATTGTGAAACACTTCTATAAATAAACTGAAACTATATTAATATAGTTTGACTTGTTTATTACCCTATTGCTAAAAGGTTATCCGTCCGTCCGTTTTCTGTCACTTATCCGGGGTCGGGTCACGGGGGCAGAGAGACCCAGACTTGCCTCTCCCCAGTCACTTGGGCCAGCTCATCCGGGGGAATCCCAAGGCATTCCCAGGCCAGCCGTGAAACGTAGTCCCTCCAGCGTGTCCTGGGTCTTCCTCTGGGTCTCCTCCCAGTGGGACGTTCCCGGAACACCTCACCAGGGAGGCGTCCAGGAGGCATTCTAACCAGATGCCCGAGCCACCTCAACTGGCTCCTCTCGACGTGGAGGAGCAGCGGCTCTACTCTGAGTCACTCCTGGATGACCGAGCTTCTCACCCTATCTCTAAGGGAGAGCCCAGACACCCTGCAGAGGAAACTCATTTCAGCCGCTTGTATCCGGGACCTTGTTCTTTCGGTCACTACCCAAAGTTTGTGACCACAGATGAGGGTAGGAACGTAGACTGTCCAGTAAACCGAGAGCTTCGCCTTCTGGCTCAGCTCCCGCCTCACCACGACAGACCAGCACAGCGCTCACATCACTGCAGACGCAGCAGCAATCCGCCTGTCGTTCTCCCGCTCCATTCTTCCCTCATTCGTGAACAAGACCCCGAGATACTTAAAACTCCTCCACTTGGGGCAGGATCTCCTCCCCTACCCGGAGGCGGCACCCTACTGGTTTCCGGCTCAAGACCATGGTCTTAGATTTGGAGACACTGATCCTCATCCTGGCTGCTTCACACTCGGCTGCGAACTGCTCCAGTGAGAGSTGGAGATCACGATCTGATGAAGCCAATAGGACCACTTCATCCACAAAAAGCAGAGATGTGATCCTAAGGTCACCAAAAAGGATCCCCTCAACACCTTGGCTGCGCCTAGAAATTCTGTCCATAAAAGTTATGAACAGAATCGGTGATAAAGGGCAACCTTGGCGGAGTTCAACTCTCACCGGAAAAGAGTCTGACTTACTACAGGCAATGTGGACCAAGCTCTGGCACCGGTCATACAGGGACCTAACAGCCCGTATCAATGGGCCTGGTACCCCATACTCCCAGAGTATCCCCCACAGGAGTCCCCGAGGGACACAGTCGAATGCTTTCTCCAATAGCCAGTTTGAGAGAACTGCCTTTCAAATCCAAAAGCAAATACAGAAAAAAAGCTGTTTAAAAAGTCTTATCTAAAGAAAAACTTGGACCCTGCAGCAGATGATATTTTAGATGAGAGATTATGGCACACCTCTGACAACAGAGGATGAGTTTGCTCTATGTTATATACACATTGCATGACCCAGTATCAAGAAAACATGCATCAAATACACAATCAAAAGTTTTTGGGAAACACCCCATTAYCTTGTTTTATAATGAAAGTGTAGGATTAAACATGCTTTTCAGTGCACTCCTCTCATTATTACACAAAAAGTTGGCCCAGGTGCTTGTATGTMCTCCCGGGAGAAAAGAAGGAATGAACGCATTTTGTACTATTATTAGAACATCTTTTAATCTCTGAGAAGTAAATGTAAAATGTGTAAAGACACTGATAATTATTCTGTCATTATCTGTATAGCACACAAGTAAAATGATAGCTGAATTTGTGAAACAATTCTCGCAGAAAGTAGATGTTCAGAAAAACCAGTGGATCTAAAATTATCACCAACTAGTGACCCAACTCTGGCTTTGCGCCTTCTTCCAGATAAGAGGAACAAGAGTGGGAGCTATCAGCCCACGGAGTCCTGAAATACACTACAAAACACAAGTGAATGTGTCATCTGAGAAAATTTATACCGTTAGAGAAAAAAAACTGACAAACGTATCAACTACGGTTTAAAAAACAAAACAAAAGGACAGACACAATCTTAGTTTAAATGAGCTGGAAAATGATTAGAAAGATTCATTATCATATATTTTCCAAAGTGTTAATGAAATCTGAATATCTGTTTAACAGAGCTGGTTAGCATCTCCCTTCAAAAATCTCCAGTGTGAAATTAACAGCTAATCTAAAGAAAGAAATGTAAACACAGTAACACCTCACTGCTGTGAAGCTGCAGAGCTGATAAGGGAAAAAAAAACACTGTGATACAAAAATGTGCCTTCACAAGAAAACCATTTCTCAATTACAGGGAAAGAAAAAAAGGGGTTGAGATTGTCTCTAAAGAACATGCAGCAATAGAGCTTTAGAACTTTACACAGAATAATTAGTTGATGAGTTCAGAGTATATGTTTGGGATGACTTTCAGCTACTACCACACCAAAGTTTAGATCAATATCTGGACAACTGACTGAGTTGTGGCTATTTTTACATTTGCTTAGGTCKCTTTGCTGTGATGGACATCATAATGTGCATGACTCCAAAAGTTAATCASTTTAGAGGTTTAAGAAAATATTWATACTCTGAAATATTGCAATATTTCATTGAAAGCTGATTCTGTATCGATATTGCATCTATTCTCAAAAGCACTGCATCAGTTTTTATTAAGGCTTAATAAGTGGATGTTGTAAGAAGAAATGAGAAATTAAACTACAGTTCTCACTCTAGTTTGGTGTCCTTTTGATTGCATACAAATAAAGAGAATTTAATCAGATTTTATGTATGGTGAGTTTTTTTTTTTAATTGGGGAAAACAAAACATCGCCTTATTGCAATATACACTCACCGGCCACTTTATTAGGTACACCAACGGTTTTGTGGTCATAAAGGGATGGACATGGTCAGCAACAATACTCAGGTAGGCTGTGGCGTTGCAACGATGCTCAATTGGTACCAAGGGGCCCAAAGAGTGCCAAGAAAAGATTCCCCACACCATGACACCACCAACACCAGCCTGAACCGTTGATACAAGGCAGGATGGATCCATGCTTTCATGTTGTTGACGCCAAATTCTGACCCTACCATCCGAATGTCGCAGCAGAAATCGAGACTCATCAGACCAGGCAACGTTTGTCCAATCTTCTCTTGTCCAATTTCGATGAGCTGGTGCAAATTGTAGCCTCAGTTTCCTGTTCTTAGCTGAAAGGAGTGGCACCCGGTGTGGTCTTCTGCTGCTGAAGCCCATCTGCCTCAAAGTTCGACATGTTGTGTTTTCAGAGATGCTCTTCTGCCTACCTCGGTTGTAACGGGTGGTTATTTGAGTCACTGTTGCCTTTCTATCAGCTCGAACCAGTCTGCCCATTCTCCTCTGACCTCTGGCATCAACAAGGCATTTCCGCCCACAGGACTGCCGCTCACTGGATGTTTTTTCTTTTTCGGACCATTCTCTGTAAACCCTAGAGATGGTTGTGCGTGAAAATCCCAGTAGATCAGCAGTTTCTGAAATACTCAGACCAGCCCTTCTGGCACCAACAACCATGCCACGTTCAAAGGCACTCAAATCACCTTTCTTCCCCATACTGATGCTCGGTTTGAACTGCAGGAGATTGTCTTGACCATGTCTACATGCCTAAATGCACTGAGTTGCCGCCATGTGATTGGCTGATTAGAAATTAAGTGTTAACGAGCAGTTGGACAGGTGTACCTAATAAAATGGCCGGTGAGTGTATTGCGATATATCATATTTTGATCTCTGTGTCGTGATATGTATCGTATCACCAAACTCTTGCCAAATACACAGATCCCTTTTGCAAACACAACAGGCAAACAAACACACAAAACAGCTACAAGTTATGAAACAACACAGTAAAACATAAAGCACACCATCAACTCGGATTACGGCAAGGGCTGCGCTGATGTTTAATGATGCAGCAGGACATAAACTATTTAGAAACTACAAGAAAAAAAGTGCCACAGATTGACCTCAAACCTCAGAGTTTACTCTAAAGAGGCCCAGACCAGTTTTATCTCAGCTGCATCACTGAAATGACTACAAATGAGCCAAATACCAGGCACCTAAAAAAAAAAAAAAAACCTTAAGCACTCTGATTCAAAAACTCATCTTTATGCTATTAAAAGATTTTACAGATCATATTCGATTTAAGCCATATGTCTGGGTTATGGCCAGAAGGCAGTGAGCCAGAACTCGTGTGTTAAGCTCTTCTTACATAATCCAGGGTGCTCTGTCACAGCATGTGTCTGCATGTGGCACGCTGGACTACAAACAGGTCAGAATAAATCAAATCTTCCAACTAATTGCCCATGCTTTAGGAACCTATTGCCCTATACGTGAGCATAAAAGTCAAAGATAGATTTATGAAGGGGTCTTGCAAAGTTAACCAGGGCGCTGTGCTGCAAACAGCAGCAGAGATGGGACCTGCTGTGTGCCTGCCTCAGCAAAGTAGTCAATATGGTATCTTCCAGATCACTGGGAGAAGAATTAAAGGCCATCCCCCTTTGGGATATCTTCCTCGTTTTTCAGCATTAGTCCAAACTGAAATCCTTTAATCTCACATATGAACTCTTCACGGTGGAGCTTTCAAAGGAAATGTCTTGCGATTACAAAATAAAACCTGTCCGAGCCGGGGCAGGAATGACTTGCTAACGTTAGGATGCTAGCCACTTGCTTAGGGTCAGGTGGAACAAGCTAACAAGGAAGCCGATTTCAAAACTGAAAGAGCATCAAACGAGACCGGACTGTTCTGCAGTTAGCCTAGCCGAACGGCCAAGCTGCTCTAAAGGAAAGGACCCGTCAATCTTACCGTATATTATTATTCCTACCTAGCGCTGGTGGTGCAGCTCAGTCACTCTTTTTTTTTTCCTCCTGCTCTCATTCGGACTCCAGCTGCCAAACACCGAGGCCTTCTGGAAGAAAAAAAACATCCGGTTCCAGGAATATTATTTAAAATGATTCAAAGGTTCTGTAGAGTTGTAGCTACTACAAAAATGGCGTTGTCTTTTAACAAAAACAAATAAATCTGTGTATTGTAGTCCTTTTTTGGCCGCTGTGTGTGTGAGTGCTGCTGGAGCGAGTCCGCGGGCGAAACCATTTCTGCAACCGGGGAGGGGGGAGGACTCGAGCGAACTGCTGAAGTTTGCGTTCACAAACTGCCATTCACTTACCACTGCACAAAATTATCACATATTAAATACTTATAGGTAGGGAAAAAGTTTTACCTTTTAATTTCGAACCGCTTACGCGGGTTTTATTTAATTTCCAGGAGCAGGTTGTCCGTCGCTACACGCTGATGCAAACAAGACGCAGCAGCCTAGCAACTGTCGCTGGCCGTGGTGCTAAAAACATCCCTGCCGCTAATGGGCGCGTCCCTCTGAGTTCATTACCATGTCATTCCATCATTTAAAAGCATCATTTTAACACACTACTTCATCTTTATATTTAGGATATATTTTGCAGTGCTTCTCATGTTTTTCATGTGGAGACTCAAAACCCTGACAGCAAAAATGTAAACAATTCAACATATTTTAGTTTAGGGTGAGTAAAACACTTCTCAAGCATGAGTCTTTGTTTAATGTATGCTGCACTGATCCCTGTGGGATATGTAATTGTGAGGAGCTGTGTTCCTCCAGGGGTGGAAGTTTCCTGTCAGGAACAAAATAGTACACTTGGTACATGCATTTGTGTTTGCCTGCATTAGATTGGAGGTTGTGCTGCACAAATCCTAAAAGATTATACCAAATTTTGTTGTTGTTTTCCTAAATACAAAAACACGTGTTACAAAAAACATGTATTTCTTGGTTCTAATGATTAAGGCTTACTCACACCAACACAAAAAACCCACATCCATAAGCTTTTTTTTTGTAAGTTCACTGAAGATGAGTAGAGGACAAAAAAAGAAATGATGAACTTTCTCAATGAAGATGCTTGGGTGTCTTCCTTCAAAAAGCAGTTCCTCTCCTAAAAGTTGTTTTGGAAAACAACATCTGCTAGATAAAGATAAATTATATTTTAATCGTATTTACTTATGCAAGGATGACAGATTGATAAACATCTATCCATCCAATATTATTATTGTTGTTCTTTTTTTTTTTTTTTTTTTTTTTTTTTTTTTTTTTTTTTTTTTTTTTTTTTTTGAATTTGCGTGTTATTTAATAGTATAACCAGGCTCAAACCAAAAGCCTATAAGGTCATAATGAGGCATAACTGGAGACAAGGCTTGTTTGTGTCTTTCTTAAAATATGTGCTATGCTATCCCAAGTATTGGAATTTTTTATATATAAATTCTTCTGTCACCTTGCTGTTGCCAATGATTTAATTGATTACCTTGTTTTTGACAAGTTCCCATGCTACAATTGTTACTTGAAAGTTTTTAAGGCCCCACATGGGGACTTTTTACATGGCCAGTTTTTCAATACCTTGGAAAGAGGTGTTATTTTCTGGTTGGGTTGAAATGCTGATGAGGAAGCAGGTTTATGTTTTCTTTTTTATGACAATGTCTCACCTTTTAGTGCCAATATCCCCTATCCATTTGAATAGGCATGTCCTAGAGGATGGTGGTATTGTTTTATAAAACAGTTTGGGGCTTGGGGTTGTAATATTTTGATGATATGTCCCTGGCAGATGTTCCAGTGCAGGTATGCAGTTGCCTTGTTGTGTCTGTGAATGAATAAACTTTTGGCTAACTCAGGACACCCAGAAACTAGATGGTCAAGTAGTTTCCTGACCTTTGTTGCATAGGCTGCAAACTGAGTTGGAGACAATAATCTTATGCAYGTAGTAGTTTGTTTTATTTGATCTTGTGCAGCCAACATGAATCCTTCTGTTTCAGGTTTAAGCCCATCTTTGTCAAGCCTTTGGTGTGTCAGGTTTTGGCYGACATCTCTGTCTGCAACACATTATGGGTATTGGCCATGCTTTGGTTTGTTGTGTCATGTCTCCTTTTTTTTTCCTTCTTTGCCCAACTTTGCATGTGTGGCATTAGTATTATTACACTTGTCTAAAAATATATTACAAAAACAAGATACAAAAAAGAATGTCAGCTGTTTTGTGTGTTCTTCTGCTGAATTTGTTTCTGAATTAAAACAATCAAAACAAAACAAATAAGCATATATCTACTTTTGGTTTTGTTTTGTTTAATTAATTTGTTTAGTTAGCTATTCAATTCTATGATGAACCTATAGTTCTAAGTGATTAGCTACTATTAAAATTGTAGCAATTGTTGTAGTCACACAATCATACAGCACAATATTATTTTTATTTTTTAAAAGATTTAAGATGTAATTTTTAATTAATGGTCGCTGAKGGTATAAAGATGCATACTTAATTTATTACACACGCGCATATCGTAAAAGTTATCCCTCAGAAATGTAATATTTTGACAGGGTGTCTTATTTTCGAGCAGTCCGTGAATGCAGCGTTGTCCCTATCAAGTGCATCCCTGGTRTTCCCATTTGACGTGAACGCAGCACGGGACGACAGCAGGCAGAGGTGAAAAGTCTGGATCATGTTGTCATTCCAGCGGAGGCATACGTGAACAGAAAAAAAAGGCCTTGTAAATAAAGAGCAGTGAGGCAGTCAGCATCGAGGTTCTGTCCACAGAGGAACAACATTCATGTAGTTTATAACCTGCCAGTTGAGAGAGAAGCTGATATTTGTTAGCTAGCTAACAGAGGACCAGGCTGATAGCTAACGGCCACCATCATCGCTCTTCTTTAGCCAGCTGTGGATCGGCCCGTCTGTCTTCCTACGATGGGAAACGCAGCAGCTGCCAAGAAAGGCAATGAACAAGAAAGCGGTGAGCATCTGGAAGCCATACAGCGCAGTTTGACCTAACTATTTCACGATGTGAGCTTGCATGTCACAGTGGACAGCATCCTTTTAGCAGCAGACCTTGCACAGAAAGAACCATGTTTAGAGCAGTTCACAACCTTCTGCTAACTACGTCACTTTGCTGATGTGAGTTAAAGTGTGCTAGAAATAATGAAACCAGCTTATTGTTATCTGAGCATAATGACAGTTCAGACTGTGGGGGGGTCCACACAGCAGGGGATACACACAGATCCATGTACCTTTAAAGCAATGTGTTTAAATTAATTGTTATATTTGTGTTGGTGGAGCAAGATAACATCACCAAACAAGATGCAGTTAATCTATCTTTATTTCCTGTAAGTATGAGTCCAGTGGACCCGGTTTTGTTAAAGTGATATCAACCTAAATGAAAACAAATGGTCTCTTTTAAGGTAAATTGCATCTGTTCCTAAACTCAGCAACGATACAGAAAATTTACGATTCGGTTCGGTTCAATGCATTAGTCTCACGGTTTGATATTCTTTCGATATAAAAAGAGAAATCCCCATGTCCCTTTTAACTTGTAATTTATTTAAATTATTATGAACATTTGTTTAACCTCAAAAGTACAGTTTTTAAATTAAATGTTGCTGAAACAGCAAGTTTCTCAGTGGATCTTTGCCTAGGTGTAGTAGTCGAACACTGATCCTTTAACACAGAGCATCTTCAGAAGACAAGTTGATAAAGTAAATTTTAAAAATCTGTATTGTTCGATACAAGTGTGTATTGAACCTAAAGCACTGTTCGACACGGGTACATGTAATGTGTCCTACCATCTGTATGCTGATGACATACAGT